TAATATGGTCTATTTGCGGAAAGGCGCTACAATTTGTCATCGTTGCTTGATTTTGAGGTGTTCAGGGCAAACACAATTGCAACAAATTTAAGAAACTCAATACTTTCTAATTCAATGATTATAATTGGGAAGCTTTAGTTTCATATTTTCACACTAAATGTAAATGGCCACGGTTATCTGGGAAATATACATTTCCCGCATTTAAATTGACATTTCTATAGGTATTTTTTCCACAGGTATCGGGTTTATTAACACATCCTGCCCGCCTGGCAAACCCAGCTATCAATACCCCTCCCACCATATGCTGTATTTAATTTATAACAGATTGTTGTTGCGGTTTGTTTTTGTAAATACAATTAAATTACATTTACATTAGCGAGTTCTTTTAACGCATGTTTGGGCAAATCCATATTAAATATTTAATTAGTTGCAATGAAATTGATTGCATTAGTCCGCGGATGGTTTGTCGAAGCGGCAAATATTTTCTATCATTGCTAATGAACTTTGTAAACAGTTTGGGATGATTTTGGTGTTTGGAGCGGAAATGTGTGAATTGCAGGTCACAACTGTTAAATGCGAATTGGTGACCCATAAATAGTAATTGAAACAGAAAAACTATCCACTCAATTAAAGTAAGAACCACTAAAGTAAGAACACTCTGGTACACAAGTAGCTGTCATGAAGAACTTTTTGCAGAAAAACGAAAAGGAAACCTGTGACCAGAATAAAATGGCGACATGAAACGGAAATGAAAACGGAAAAGGCACAAAAAAAAAAAAAAAAAAGAAAGAGCCCTGAGCACATAATGCCACTTAATTAGCGAACACAGCCACGCACACACGCGCCACATAACGGAAAACACATGCTTAATGCACATTAAGTCCAGAAACAAAATGGCAGAGAGTGAAAGAGATGGGGACATGGGGAGAGAAGAGGAAAGAAAGAATGAAATCGGGTGTACGAAATTTGCCGCAAATCAAGAGCCACGAAAAAGTCAAGAAAAATTAAAAACTGGCACACACCAACTGCCGGGGCGAACGAGAAAGAAAGTGAGAGGGACTGAGATGGCAAATGTGGGTCAACTACTGCGTTTTCCATTCTTCACACACACACACTAACACATGTGCACTCTCGGCTTTAATGTCATTTGCATTTTTTTCCATAGCCTAGCAAAATGGGCAGCTGCTTTTGTCTGCCTCTCGGTGCCTGCGTGTGTGTGAGTGTCAGTGTGTGTGCTGGCAGAATTTATTTCCTCCTTTAACTTGATTTAATTGTGCATAAATATTTTCCCATTGCTTCTGCATGCAAATTAGGCTGAGAAAAAAGATGAGAACAAACATTGATGCTTTGGCATCGATTCTTGTGTATATGTGAGTCTTGAATGCATTTGTATTTATTTTATGAGAATAGGATTTCAACTTAAATCTGCTTTAGAAGCCTATAGGATATAATAATAAAAGATATGTCGTTGTCTTGTGAGTTCTAGGAGATTGCAAGGATATTATTTTCAAAGCAAGGATATGTATGTTAGTCTTTTAAAACTCGGGTACATTTCCACAGCATCTTTTAGTCTTCCTATACAGGTTTAGGAGATTGCAAGGATATTATTTCAAAGCAAGCATAGTCTTTTGAAACTCTGGTACATCCTTTAGTCTTTCCACACATTCTCTAGTAAAAGAAATCAATAAAGTACCAACAAATGTTATTCCAAATAATTAAACGTTGAATAGCCAAAGGCAGGCCGAAAAACTATTCCAGAATTAATGGCAAAAACAGAGACGTCTGGCACTCCCCCTGCAGCCTTGCAACAGAGTTGCAAGCAAATTAAATGCAGTGACAAATTACACAAATTGCGAGTGCAACTGCAACTAAAATTGCAGCGGGAATTGCACTCTAAATCCGAAACTGCCAAATGCTGTCCATTGCAGCAAATTGCAAATGCATTTTAATTGCAATTCGCATCGTTTGCTCCGGCAACAATTTTAGTTTCGAATTTTAGCTTTTTCCTGGGGTTTCCCCCAAAAAAAAACTAAACTAAACTCTGTGCGGCATAGAGTAATGTTGAATTTTGCAATTTGCTGGAAAAAGGGAATTTTTTAGGTGGGCAGCGGCTAACGAGCAACATTGTTGTTGATGATGACAATGATTAGATGCGATAATGCAAATGAGTCAACAACGTCGAGTCCTTGGCTCCTCCTGTGTTTGTTGACAACGGCCAGGAGGGGCAAGGAGCCAGGAGCCAGGACGACGATGACAATAATGGGAACATCGTCACAAAAAATTTGCATGTCAATGATACATGTCCATGCAAGGACAATGCTCTACAAAATTCTAAATCACAATTGGATAGAAACCTAGGATAATTAAACCCAAAACAATTTTGAAAGATTTTTCATTGGATTTTCTATCTTTTTTAAGTATTTCTATTTATTAAATGGTATGCTTTAGCATTGGCATTATTATTCCGACCGCAACTGTGCCAAATGTATATACAAAGCCCTCCATATGTGGGCGTGTCAGAACTGGGTGGCCACAACAATGACAACTATGACATTGTTCTATAGCGGCGAATAGCAGGAGGAAGCCAAAGGAAGCCCCTACTCATGCTGATGACGTGTGGTTGTCATTAGAGGATGCCACAACTGCTGTTGCCGCTGCTGCTCCTGATGCTCCTGAGGTTGTTGTTGTTGTGGCGTCATCCTTACCAGGCTTCATCTACCCATCTAACATTCAGTGCCAACATCCCGCTCGGCCAGGCACATCCCATCCCATGTTTTGCATGGCTATCATTGTCGCTGTGGCTGGTGTTGTCCTGCGATGACAAAATGCCCACCACACTGACCAAAAATGCATACAACATGGCACAAAGGGGCAAAGACCCGCCTAGATTGTGGCTTAAACCTGCATCCTCTGCCAGCTACTCCGCTGCCATTTAACACTTTAAAGGCTAAAAGGAATGCGTTAGTTTTTAGGCAACAAAATATATATATTACATTTTGTAATTAAAGTCCCCTAGATTCAAAGGAAATATTCCATTTGCAGGGTTACTATTTTTTTCTATTTTTCCTGGTGCCAAATTATTCACCGGCTGTTGCATAAAATGCTAATTTTTTAGACTCTATATGGGTTAGGCATGCCATTCATTTGCATAATAACTACTATGGGGGCCCGACTGGCTGCCCTTTTATTATTGTTTACCCAAATGAGAAATGGGTATTTTTGTTTAAATTTTTGAATTCTCTCCCCTTAAGGGCTGCCTGTCACAGACTAGCCCCCATCCCAAAAAAATAACAAATAGGAGAAAAACGAGGGCATATGTTGTCAGCCACCCACGTAATGACATTTTGATGACATTTTTTGTATAAATATATGGCGGCTTGCATTTTGGTGGCCTGCCAAACTTGAAATGCAACTGCTGGAGGGGAGGACACCAAGCTAGATACATCAGAGAGTCCTCCTTACAATTGCCAAAGCCGAAAAGGAGATTTAGAGGCCAATTTGCAGGCCAATTAGTGTAACCAGGCTAATAGAATTTTTGTGTTAATTTTATTACAGCTTGTTGCGTTGTAACTCTTCACCCTGCAGTGCCCTTTGCTGCACTTTTGCCTAATGACTGATTTCGAAGGCTATTAAATGGCAGTGCGAGAGAAAGAGGGGTCTTTCCTGAGCAGGTCCTGCCAGGATGTTTTGCTGCTGCGTCTGCTGTGATGTGTACACGCCTCCTCCACCAACACTCTGGCCGAGACCGTCCCTTGGTCAATGCAAACCGAAAAGTGAGTTATCAAGCAAGCACTTTTCTAATTACAAATTCGACCAACGATTCTCGGACTCCTGGGGCTTGTTTTCTACACTGAGAGAGATTTAGCTTTGAAAGCTTATAAATTATACAATTTTTGAGTCAGAACAATGATTAATCTAGTTTTATTTATGGCAGAGTTTGTAACTTGATGATTTATGGTCGAATCGGGATTAACTTATTTTTCGAGTGCACTTTGGGCAACTTCTATGCCCAAGCCGATTCCCAGCTCAAGTCTGACTCTGACGGCCTGTTGACTGCGAAAGGACATTTGGGAACAGGCCGAGTCATGGGCTGGGGGCAAGGGGGACAACATTAGCCAGTGAAATTTCCCCAGGCCAATGTCCTGGCCGAATGTTGTTGTTTTTGCCAATCCTGATGTTATGGATGCAACTTTAAATTGCTTTCCCAGCGAGCTAGAGCGAGAGCTTCGGACTTTTTCTAACAGTTTTCGGGTGTCCTGTCCCGCTCGACAAAAACCCAGGCCAAACTGACAATGCAGAGGATTGCCACATAGCTGGGCGGGGGCTTTTTCGGGTTTCAATGTGGACTGGTTTTGTGTTTCAGACTGGGGGGACCACCAGAGTCTGGGCCTGATATTTTCATCGTCTGTCGGGCGACTCCGGTGGGAAATGCGCCACTGCACTGATTGCACTTTGGCTCAACATTTCACAGAGATACGGAATACGGAATCCGGGCGGGATACGGGTTACGGCAATCCAACTACACCACCACCACCACCAACAACAACAGCAACAATGACGGGCCCCGAAAATGTCTGAGTGCGTAATGCGTTTTCACGGAGATCCGGGACCCAGGGGAGTTTCAATGGAGAGTCAGAGGAGGGACAGATATGGGTGATAAAGTGCAGACATTTGACAAATTAACTGCTTTGCGTCATGCGCCGGAAATGTTGCAAATCTCGTACCGTCAATCGCTGCTGGACCACAAGGCCTCCTCCGGTCGTATTGGACTACCATTTTCCGGCTCTCCGGACTAGCCGACACTCTGGTTCGCTCAGATCTGATTGATTTATGAAGCTAACCCCCAAACACACACCTCCCCACTACAAATATGTGTACAAACACCACCCGAAAAACAAGCAGACATCCCCAAACAGTGTCGCTTCATTTGAGGTTGAGAGTTTTGGGATGCATTCTAATCGAAAGTAACCAAAGCCCATAAAATAAAATCAAATTCTTACTTGGTTTTGATTAAAAGCAAGTGATAGCACATCGTCTCTTACCTGGAAGAAAAAAAAGTAAAAAAAATAATTAAAATGTGTGAATGGAATTAAATGAAATTTATAGTATTTTTGGTTCAAGTCTGAAGTATTCCTGTTGAATCTATTAGACCCTTTGTTGAGGGGAGAACCCTTATATAAATTCATTTCCCTTTGGCACCCAGCTGGCTTAAAAACTATCCTGTTCCAGTTCCCCCCAACTGGGGATAACATACATAAACATTAGTTAGAGCATATAATAACACAAAACAGCAACAAAGTCACCGCAGTGGCGTTCAAATTGTATTTAGTCGTAAACTTCATACACGCAGCAGGTCTGGGCAAATGGACCTTCTCTCCCTTAGCCACAAAGAACATAAAACTATTGGCAACTGCGGGCTGGGGGAGGCCATATAAGAGCCATAATTTCGACACTAATGCCGGGCCATACAAAAAGCGGCACTCCTAGGCGACCTTGTGGGTCTGCAAGTGGTCAGACTTTGACATGTGTCAAAGGAAACCATGATGGAGAGACGCCCCTAGGGCAGAGATGTGGAAGGTTACACCTGCGACATAAGTGCACTGAAGAAAAAAAGTAAATAAAATAAGAAGGGAAATAAAGGAACCTTTATTTAAACTATATCTTCAAAAACAGTTATTTAAGATATTTATAAATATTTTAAATAATCACAGACTTATTTTTTTTTTAGGTGCAGCTAGATCTGGTAGAAGCTCGTGACCCTGGTCCTGTCACGAACCCCGATAAAAATCAACAGTTTATGTGAGACGCATGATGTCCTTGAGAGTTAGAACTGGGGACTGGGGACTAGAGACTGAGCCTGGCGGACACACGATGGAAATGTCATTTTTACAAGGAGACCTCATGGAAAGGACATGGCAAATAGCAACGACAGGAGCAGTCGCAGGAGCTCCAGTAGCAATACAGCGAGGAGTCTGGCAAATGTATTGCCTTCTATTTGCATTTTCTATTTATTTCTTTATCCCTTTTCTGGCTCCTTCGCCAAGCACTTGAGCTTGGGCCCGCCATTAGTGGCACGTCCTTGGATATTTCGTGTTTGTCCTGTCTTCCTCCACTTTGGCACTCATATTTTATTAAGTAGCAAAGTTGACAAGGGATTTGCCAAAGAAAGCGGTCGCTCAGATGGCCCGATGGTCGAATGGGAGATGGGAGTGGCGTAGTAGCGTAGGAGTGAGGGTCTGTCATTTTGTAAAGTAAATATTGGTAATTTTTATTGAGGATTTTCCTTGATTTCCCTTTGAGCATATGGCTTATCCCGGCCAACCCAACCCAACACACACACAAACTTTCCCCCGACGACCGAAATTAAGGGCATTTATTTTGGCCACTCGAACCTGAACCCGAATCAAACTCAAATAACATTTGTGCCAAAGTGATGGCGCCGCTCCTGGGCAACTGTGTTCGAAAATTAGGAAAAGAAATCACAAAGAAAATTATTAGAAAAGTTTCATTCACGAAAGAGACGACAAATAAGACGATAGCAACAGTGAGCGAGAGAGAAGGAGCAGAAGGACGCTTCGTTGCACAAATTTGTGGACCTGCGGCGCAAATTTGTACAAAATGCAACAGACCGTAAGAGACAACATAAGCGATAACACAACAACCAGGCCAAAACCAAAACCAAAACCAGGCAGGAAGCAGCCTCGAGTTGTGTTCACAGCGGTTGCTAACAGGATTTAAGCCCACCACCCCCTATCCAGCGCCGCCGGTTGTTACCATGGCCATGAAAAAAGAATTGGGGACTGAAGCCGGAGCTGGAGCTGAAGCTGAGGCCAAGTGTCGATGCATGGCATACGCAAATTGCCAATCGTTAAGTGAAATTTGAGATGGTTGTCCTTGCGATACAAAAGTAAAGGATGCACAGGGAAAAAATGAGGATTCAACTGGTGATATTATTTCCTGAAGAAGATCTTTTTAAAGAACATATCAAATATTTTCATATATTTTTATGGTAGGATTTCAAGAACTCCACACCTGTAAAAGCCATCATAACAATAAAACATTTTACAACCGTCGCATACTTTCACACTCTTTTGGTTTTTTGATTTCCAGTCCACATTATTTTCCTCTTTCAGCCACAAAAGCCATTGAAATTATGTTACAGCCGAGTTTCCCTTTTGGCCGCTCTCCAAAGCCAGTTGAATGGCAGTTTTTTTTCCCCCATTTTCATAAATGTCTCCCTGGCAGCCTTTAGCATGCATCATTTAATTTTGACGCCAACCTGTCCAGGCACTTGAGAATTCTCCCCCCCAACTGCCACAACTCCTTCCACCAATTGGGTGAAATTCAATGCTTAAAAGTCAGAATCGTGAATCGAGGATACTGGGAGGATGGAGGACGCAGGACGACGACACGCACCATCGCACTATAGGCCGGATGACCACTTTTTCTGGCCAAAAACCCATTTTTCGAAAGTTCTTATAATTAAGATTTTATGATGTCATTATATTAGTATAATATCAGACTTCAATATTACGTAACAGAAATTTTGACAGAGCCACGCTCCGTTAAGTTATCGGTTTTCAAAAACAGCTGTTCGGAGTGTCGTGATCACGTGTGCTTGTTATCGGAAAAAAGAGTCCAATTAAAGCTAATAAAAAAGGCACTAAACTTAGTAATTTATAAAAAAGTTGTTATGGCATCGAAAGGGAGTGATTTTTACTATATGTTTTCGATTCTCAAATGTTGGTTTGTTTGGGATTGTCCCTGTAATTGAGTGTTTTTAACAGAGCTTTTGTGTGTGTTATTCAATAACAAAAACTAATGTCGTCGAAGCAGTCGAAGCTAAAGTTTAAAGGACGTATTCCACAGATCATTATATATATCAGACCCTACAATATCATCGGTTAACCTAGCCAACCGAATCAAACAACAAAACAGATAGCTTCTTCCAAAAGAAGTATTAGAATAGCTCCACAGTCCCTTAAGGAGCGCTGATGATCAGTATCAGTAAAATATTGAAGACGATCCACTTGAGTTCAGGGAAATGGAACTTGAGACCGAAGAAGATGTTGATTAGGTGAGCATGTGAAACAGTTTAGATTATATTTTACCTTTCAGGCCTTTTTAATAATAATTACTTTTAACGGTTTGGGCGTAGCAATTGTAGAAAACATGTCCATAGTTCCTGCCAGAAAGTGTCGGTGACACGCCTTTTTTTTAATACCTAAGCTTATGAAAAACCAAAATAAAAAAACCAGACCTTAATATTATTGTTTGTTTTTAAGTTATATTTTTTTGCTATCTACTTTTATATAACTTTGGAAGACATAAAATCTAGTTCAGCCCAGAGGAGGCGGTGCCACGCCTATTTTCTCAAAATATGTTCCTTAGCTTACTAAGAACCCAAATCAAAAAACAGAACCCAAATATTTTGTTTCGTTTAGAAGTTATTAATTTTGGCCAGAAAAAGTGGTCATCCGGCCTATAGTGCATCGTTTTCATTTTCATTTTCATTGCATACACTTACACACACACAAAGAGGTTATAAAATATTTAAAAATCATGCCCAGGCGGGCAAACGAGCCCCGAAAACACACCTCAAGGATGCCGCTTCCTCCGTGAAGTGAAAGGAGTGGAAAGATTTCATCTCAAATATGCGCACAATGCGATGGATACAAAAAAGAAACGCTCCCCATATGTTGGCCCACAATTGTATGCTATATTCTACTATATAGCCGCACCGCTATATACGGGCTTATATAGTGCATGTGTGTATGTGTGTGATTCTGTAAATAAAATACCATATTCCCTGACATGAATATTTAACAATGCAACAACAACAACAGGAACGAAAACGACAAAGACCAGCCTGCTGCTGCTGTTGCATTGGTAAAATATCACAAAATATTCATTTCAATTTCATTTGTTTTTTTCGAACTTCGTTTACAATTTCCATTTTTTATTTTATTTTATTTTCCGTTTTCCCCATTTGTTTTGCATTTTCCGTCTCTGAGATCCTATATTATTCTTATTTTTATTGCAATTGGTTTATTTTCTGTAAGCAGACGGCAATTTCTTTGCTTGCACAGTTTTGTTGGCAATTATTTAGTTATTTGTTTGTTAAAGCTATCAACTTCAAAGTGGAGATCAAGGAAGGCTTGTCAGGACAATGAGAGCATACCATTGCATACGTTCTGAAGAAAGATGGTTGGTTGATAAAAGAATATTTCTTGTACTCTGTTCTTTTTAAAGTTTAAAGAGGGTCGCAATTTCATTTTACTGCCTGCCTTCTGTCACAACACAAAATTCTCCAAATTATTCATCCGAATGTGTCAGCTTTCAGCGTTTTCTGACGCATTACAGCAATAAAGAAATTCCATGTCGCAGTAATTTTACATGACAGATTAATAAGCCGACTTGCCGCTTCTTCTCCCATTCGACAGCCAGGAATTGACATTAAATTGTAATAAATAGGCAAACAAGGATCTTCTGGCGGCCCACTTTATGTGGCAAATCTCCAGCAGGGTAACAAGAAGATGCCACGCCAAATTGCCATGGCAGTGGCAGTGGCATTATAAAAGCAGTGGCAAGGCAAAAAGACTGAGCATCGTCTGCAGTTGAAACGAATTTAATTTTCTACTTTTTATATTTATTTATTTTTTTCTTTTTTTTGGCGCTAGCACTGGCACAGGCGGCTCTTTGTACACCCGCGTCTGCCAGACACAAACAGAATAACAAGCCGCAAGCCTGAGGCTGACATCTCTCCTTAAGCCACCGCCCTCTACACTTACCTTGCCGGGCCAGCGATTTTCCCGCCCAGGTCTCGCCCCAGTTGGGAAAATAGTGGAAACTTTTGATAATTACATTTGGCGGCTGTTGCTTTGGCAGCTAAGCCAAAGAAAAGAAGAAAGCAACAGAGACAGCCAGGAGTCTGTCTACAGGGCCAACAAGTTTAAGCAATAAGCTTGAAAATGGTTTTAAGAAAAGCAACCAGAATATGATTTCATTTGTTGTCTTAGGAAATGGCAAAATACTCAGTGGA